ATATATTTTATGGACAATATTTTATTTTTTATATAAAAATAAAAATTACCCTTCCCCACCCCGCCGGGATACTCGCCGCGGTGAACAGCACGGTACGGGGTCACGGTCCACAGCCAAAACATAAAAAATGTCTGAAGCATGAGAATTTAGACAAAAACAATGCGAAATGGATATTAAAAAGCGTACACAAGGAAGAAGGGACTCAAACTAAGGTACGAACATTAGGATCGTCGAAACCTTGTGGAAGTTAGTAGACCCTTGACCACTGCAAAAATAGCCACAAGAACACGCCTAGAACGAAAGAGAGCCATTTTTCTTGCACATGGGTATTTATTCATATTATTTTGTAGGATTTGTTTGTTCATTGTTTTTTTAGAAGTGAAGGGGGTGCTTTTGATGATTCTTCATTTTTATTTTATTTTGGACCGAGAAGGACGGACTTTGAGAGTCGTTTGTAAAACATAATATAATTGTCTGACAGTAGATTCGGCTTAACTAACTTAATTCGGGAAACATAAGTTAAAGGCTTCTTCATATATATATTAATATAATAATAAACTGATAAAACTAAGTATATGATTTAAATTGCTCGGATAAATTGTTTCCGTGGACTACACAAAACCCCACTATAAGTTCTTGTAAAGTCATATTGTAATCAATAACTCATAATCACTACTGTGGGGGGGTTTTTTACCATCTTTTTGGGGTAATCTACGGAGGACTCCGGGTGTATCGGGGTGGGAGTAAATTGAACGTATTTAGGGGTAACTCGAGTGGTAGGTTTATCCCTTTACACGGTGTCGCTATTTGGTACTTAATAAATACAGTTCGAAAATTAAAACCCGTTCGTGACGTTCAACTCTTTTGTTGTTATGGGTATATGTCACTTACGTGTAAGTCGTCGATCTTCCTTTATATTTTGTTTACTTTTTAGAATTTGTAGGTTCAGCAAACTTAATTATCTCTGGAAGAAGGAGATTGGACAGGATGCAGAAATATGGTAGTGGTCTCCCTAAGAGATTTTTAGTAAACCGACCCCTCCTCTGTCTTACTACCGTCACAGTTGGAAATTAGTCTTTAACATGTCATGAAATTGAACAATTAACACTTGTATGCGCGTCTTACTCGTCCAAAGGGAAGTCTAACTTGTAAACCCCACGATAGGTCTACGACTACAGTCGGAAGTCGAAGAAGAGACACGGCCTTGGTCGACACCAAGCCTCAATGCCGTTGAGGTCGACCGGACGGTCCTCCACTCTCAATTCCCTCCTCTTTCTCTTTGATCTGCTTTGTTTCTTCTTCTTCTCTTCTCAACACTCGAGAAGCACGCATAAGAGCCCGTTACAGTACGGTTTGGATGGAGGGTGTTGAGAGAGAGTACAAGTTAATAAAATATAGCAATGTGAAAAGAATATTTATATATTTGATAAATGTGATACCTGATCACACACATCTTTCGGTGCAATTTTACCTTTCTCTTATGAAAATCTCTAATGTGTTGTAATATGGAGACTTGTGTCCGGAGGTAAAAAAGGATAAAATGTATAATCTACAATAAAATCTCGTTTAAAATTGTGTTACGATGTCTAAAGTTACTGATAAGTCACATGTTTCCTGCCTGGCCTTGCCCGTGTATCATTACCCTCTCTCGTCTGGGCGCTATGCACAGCGCCCAGACGAGAGTGCAGCAAGTGCAGCAGAAGCCAACTGTTGCTGTCAAAACAGGAAGCTGTCATGCACTCTGGAAGCTATCATTAGCAGCTATTATGAAAACTCAGTTTTTTACATAAAAATGGAATGATGGATTATCAATAATTGTTTCAAAGTGACAGACACATTGGATTAACCTATGGATTAACCTTCAGCTGCGTTTTTCTCGTTTTTGATCAGAATAACAGCAAAAGGTGAGCATATCTCCGTGTTTTGCTACCTAAAGCTACGTTGTGTGATGTCTGTATTTGCTTCCCCTGTCGCGAGTTCTGATCACTCAGTGATAATACTTATATTTCTAGAATCTGTGGAATCTCAGCTTGTTAGCTAGCTTGTTTGTGCATATCCGATAAGTATATCGATTGATTTATACCTAGAGAGCATTAGCATTTTTTCGCTCAAGGCTCATTTAGACGCTTCTTGTGAGACTTGTGTTTTGTTTCGGTAAACATGGTTCATATCATCAGTTAGCTGAGTTTCTTCCCGTTAAATGAGTAGGACACATGAATAGTTTATTACATTTTAAGAAGCCCTTAGACAGTTTCGTGAGAAAAAAAACGGGGGGGGAAAGCCCCTTAACAGGTTAAATGGGAATTAAATCATTTTAAGTAATTTTGATTGTTCCCAAAGCCCTGGTGTTCTGCAGTTTGTGTGGGCTTACTGTACTGTTGCACAGTGTTGAAACTATGTCCAGGACAAGGTGTTTGGAAGTTTTGGAAGATTCATAGCCAACCACACTGAAGATTATGGAGGTATTGATCAGTCTTCTCATATTCTGAGAAAAAAACATCACTAGAAGTCATCATTTAAGGGGTCTTTTCTCAATTTTCTTTATCGGGCGAGCATCCCCCCGGACCCCCCTAGTATTGTTTGGAGCAGGAGTCCATCTGTTCTCCTCGGCATAGACAACTCTTTTATGGTTGATTTGTCGTTTTTTATCCTTCCATATGAATATGAATATATGAATTAAGAGAATATAGTGTTTATTTCTTTAAACCAATATTGTGGGATTTGAAGGAGAATTGAGGATATTATATAGGTCAATCTTGGTAGGGCATTCATTTTGAACACATCCACCCTTCCCCACAGCGATAGGGGCAAAGAAGTCCATCTTCTCAAGTCATCTTCAATAGTTCTAAGTAAGCCTGGACCATTCATTT